CCCCAAAATCCAATAAGCACCTTCAGGCTTTTAAAGGGCTTTATTTCCTCATTACACTTCCAGACTACCTATCACAGTTTCGGAGGCCCTGAAATGCCAGGATAGCACCTAACCCCCCCAAATTACCCCTTTTTGGAAAGTAGACACCCCAAGGAATTTGATAAGAGGCACGGTAAGTATTTTGCAGATCTCATTTGTTGCCACAAGTTTTTGAAAAATGAAGAAAAAAAAAAAAAACATATTTTTTTCTGTTCTTTTTTTATATTTCAAAACCTTGTGAGAAAAAATGAGATCTGCAAAATACTCACCATGCCTCTTTTTAAATTCCTTGGGGTGTCTACTTTCCAGAAAGGGGTCATTTGGGGGGGGTTTGGGGCTATCCTGGCATGTCAGGGCCTTCGAAACTGTGATAGGTAGTGAGGAAGTGTAATGAGGAAGTTACGCACCTTCAGGCTTTCAAAGTGGTCATTGGATTTCAGGCTCCTGTATGTGGCTAGGCTCCCAAAAAGTCTCACACATGTGGTATCCCCATACTCAGTAGAAGTAGCAGAATGTATTTTGGGGTGTAATTCCACATATACCCATGGCTTGTGCGAGAAAAAAATCATTTAAATGACAACTTCGTGTAAAAAAAAAAAAAAAAAAAAAAAAGTTTGTCATTTTCCAGAAACTTGTGGAAAAAAAAAAATCTTCCATGGACTCAATATGCCTCTCAGCAGATAGCTTAGGGTGTTTAATTTCCGAAAAGGGGTCATTTGAGGGTGTTTGTACTATTCTGGTATTTTAGCAGCTCAAGAAATGTGATGGGCAGTCAGAAAGTAAAAGCTGTGTAAATTCCATTATCTATACCATAGTTTGTAGACGCTATAACTTTCACAAAAAGCAATCATACACTTATTGGGATTTTTTTTAACCAAAAACATGTAGCAGAATACATTTTGGCCTAATTTTATGATGAAATTTTAGTTTTTAGATATTTTTTATGATCAAAATGAGAAAATATTGTTTTTTTCAAAAAAAATTCTCTTCTTCAAAACTTTCTGGTTATAGCGCCAAAAATAAAAAGTGCACAGGTGATCAAATACCACCAAAAGAATGCTCTATTTGTGTTAAAAAAAAATGACAAATTTCATTTATGTACAATATTGCATGACCGCGCAATTGTCCGTTAAACTAGCGCAGCGCTGTATAGCAAAAAAATGTCGTAAATTGCAGTATCTATACCATAGTTTGTAGATGCTATAACTTTCACACAAAGCAATCAATATACACTTATTGGGATTTTTTTTTACCAAAAACATGTAGCAGAATACATTTTGGCCTAAATTTATAACCAACTTTGAGTTTACTAAATATTTTTTACTTTCAGCTATAAAAAAAAATATAGTTTTTTCTTCAAAATATTTGGTCTTTTTTTGTTTATAGCGTAAAAAAATAAAAAAAGCGCACAGGTGGTCAAATAACACCGAAAGAAAGCTCTATTTGTGTGAAAAAAAGGACGTAAATTTCGTTTAGGTGCAGCATTGCATGACCGCACAATTATCAGTTGAATTAGTGCAGCGCCAAGTAGCAAAAAAAAGAGGCCTGGTCATTAAGGGGGGTAAATCCTCTGGAGCTCAAGTGGTTAAGGATGCCACACTCCCTTGATGTCATCTGGGTTACTCAGCATTAACACTCCATATTCCTCCTCACACCATGCTCCACCGAGATGCCAATATATGAAGAGTAAGATAGTATAAAATGCAACTGCCACCTGCTTACAAAAATTGGCCACCTGATTTAGTTCCCCTTTCAGGTGGACAGCAGATAAGGAAGCTAAATTTGCCTCTGCCCATGCCAGTAGCACCGCAGTCAGGCCCAGGCCCCAGAGGGACCTGCTTCTTGTTCCTCCCCGTTTGTTCACACAGGCCACCACCGTTGAATTGTCCGAAAGGGCGCGAACATGATGGCCCCCAATCAAACCCTGGAAGGAATGAAGGGCCTCCCAAACCGCCCTGAGTTCCTTCCAGTTTGAGGATTCCCTTTTCTCCTCCCGAGACCAAGCGCCCTGTACCACAGATTCCTCTAGGTGCGCTCCCCATCCCTGGGCGCTTCCGTCCGTTGTGATCTCCTTGACCACTGGAAAATTCGACAGTAACCCCTGGGTTAAGTTGGCTGCCTTCCTCCACCACCAAAAGGGATCTTTTTACCTTGGTGGGAACCCGCACCCAGAAATCTAACGACCCCTGCTTCCAGTCCCAGATGTTCAAAATGAACAGCTGCAGGGGACGTAGATGCAACCCCGCCCATTGTATTACCGGAATGGACAAGGTTAATAGCTCTAAAACTGACATTACTTCTCTGGGGTTAGAAAGGTTTTTTGACAGGCGGAATACAGTATATAGCCCAGATAAGTAATTCTCTGGGCTGGGATTAGACTGGACTTGGCCAGGTTCAACAGCCATCCCAAACTCTCCAAATGGTTCCTCACCACAGCGAGCTTGTGAAGAGAAGATCGTCTAGGTAGGCTACCACTGAAATTCCCTTCACCCGAAGTGGAACCAGCACCTCGGACATAACTTTTGTGAAGATCCTTGGAGAGGAGGAGAGCCCGAAGGGCAAGGCCTGAAACTGCAGGATGACACGTCCCCCCTGGACTCTGAACTGCTAGCCTGAGAAACCTTCTGAAATGTATCCACGATGGGTACGTGCAGATGGCATCCTTTGCTTCCACCGGGGGCGTTAGCCTCCAATAGATTTAGAGCTTTGACTGTAAAAATTTAGTCAATCAGAAACTTCTTGTATCGGATAGTTTCGTTCAGGGGCTTCAGATTTAGAATGAATCTGTAAGCCCCTGAAGGTTTCTTGACAACGAACACATGTGAGTAGAAACCCTCCCCTATCTCTGCATTGGGGACTCTCACTACTACCTTTTGCTCCTCTAACTCCCGTAGAGACGCTAGTAAGGCCAAAGCCTTTTGTTGACATCTGGGTAGGCTTGTTACTAATACCCTTCGCGACGGTGGCTTTGAGAACTCCAGGCGGTACCCCCGTCTCACAATGTCCAGTACGAAGGGGCTGGAGATCTCCGCTTCCCATCGTGGGAGGAAGACCCCCAATCTTCCTCCCACCGGGGGGAATCGAGTCACCGCAGCTTTTGGGGCAGCTCAGGAGGACAGGGGGGGGGGGGGGAAAAAAAAAAAAAAAAAAAAAAAAAAAAAAAAAAAGGATCCTGCCACTCCTTTATCGTATCCACCAATACCTCGTGAACGGGAAAAAACTCTGCTTTTGTTCTTCCATACCCTGATACATCTGGTCATGCAGTGAAAGGGTTTTTTTTTATCCTCCTTAATATCGAATGTGGCATAAATCGCCCCCAACAAATAGTCTACCTCTTCCAGGACAATTTGTATCTATAGGGGCCTCTGGGATCATCTGAGGGGCCCTCCCCTTCTAAATCCTCTTCGGACTGGGAGCCCAGGGATGGCTCACCCTCCTGGTCCTCCGTTCCTCGACTGGTTGAAGGAAGCACCGGCGGGGGGGGGGGGGGGGAGGCCTGGGGTAACGCCAAATTCTCAAAGCATTTTGAAGGAGTCAAAAAAGGTATTCGTCATTTCCCTCCTTGATTTAACCAAGTCTCCCTGTGACGGACTCTCCTCCCTAACCAAACCCTCTATACAGGGCCCACATAGCACCTTTATCCACAACTCTTTCAGGGTCCCCTTACATGACGGGCATTTCCGCTTAGGCACCTGGTGCTTGAGTTTTTCACAGGCTTTATCCTGCAAAAACGAGAAGAGGAGAACCAGGGAACTGATTACCCCTTATCCAAACCACCTGCCCAGCCGCCGCCCCCCCCCCCCCCTTCTTCCTCCCTGGCAGGGAACAGGGGCCTGACCTTGGATAGACCCTCCCCCCCCTGCCCTGGCACCTCTGACCACAAAGAGGGCCGGGAACACCCCTTCGAGCTAGGGGCTCATAGATAGGAGAAAGACTCCACTGAGTCACTTACCTGTGCCTGGCCTCGCCTGGTCCCGGTGCCTCTGCTCCGGACATGCCTCAGGAGGGTAGTCGCCTCGCCGCAGTATCACCTGTCTCCACAGGCTACCGCACCACCATTCTTGCCACTGTCCCCGCGTCTTCAAGGCCACGGCCGGAAGCTGCGACCCTGGGAGAAGCCCCTTCCGTCGGAAATAACATCTCCCGCCACCCGGCCCGGCGCGCTCCAATGCCGGCACATATGGGAAGTGCAGGACTCCTCCCCTGGTCTCCCTAGACCTCAGCACGAGGACGCCCCGGCTCCCGCAACTCTCTGGAAGGGGCCGGCCGACAGGTTAGTGCCGCACCTTCCTCTGACCCCACAGAGGCAGCAGCCCTGACCCTACAGCATTACTGGGGGATAGCAGCCGGCGCTCCCGGCCTTCACCCCACGCTGCCCTGTCTCCATCCTAACAACCAGGTCTCGCTGTCCCGACAGCACCTGGAGAGGCCTCCAAAAGATGTCTCCCCACCAGAGGAAACACAAAAAAAAAAAAAAAAAAAAAAACTGAGGTCAGAGGGGAGTGACAGTTTTTATTTAGGGTGGAGGCGTTTCCTCAGGTGGGGGAGGAGCCGAGGTCTCTCAAGGTGCTGTCCTGAAAGACTAAATGGGAAATATTGATTTAAACTTGTAAACAAAACATGCCATAAAATGCTTGGTTTTCAAGTGGATAAAATTGATATTCTGGCAATTACCCCTCCCAAGAGAGATCTATAGATAATATAGTCATGGAACATTTCTTTGAAGCCCAAGCATAAATCAAAACTTTTTTTTTTTAAATTTGTAAAATTTGGGGAAGGGGTTAGAATCTTTTTTTTTTTTATTGCCATCTCTTTTGGAGAATTTTCACGGTGTAACACATGCCAATAAAAAGTAACATGTTTTTAACTCTTCACCACTCCTGTCTTGAAGGGGGGGGAGTTTTTGGCTAAGGTCAGCTTTAAATACTGGTCTGCAAGTGTAACAGTTTAATTATAGCCCTTTAAAATACATATGGTATGAAAGCTTTCCTGTGAGCAGGATAATTGTCAAACTTCTCATGATAGAATTCATGACATAAAATAGCAGCCAATGACTGGTTGAATAGCACAAACATAACCACCAGCCACCATGTTGTATGACCCAATCCAAACAGAAAAGAGATAGATATATAAATCAGCAGCTCCGCAAAATAATGTGGACAGGACACCCTCTCAAACCAGTCTCCATTGGGCTCAACATGGTTCATGGTTACAACTTTTCCTGCAACAAAAACAAAACATACATTAATAAATTGTGCACTCAGTTTTGTCTTAAAGAAAAGCATACATTTCTCTACACTCAAATGTCCATCGTAAGCACCTGAAAAGGGGCCCAAGATGAACTTCTAGCACCGACACTAACCAAACCTTGCAACAGTTGAAATTTTTTTTCATAAATACTCACCAGATTTATTTTTCCTTAGATTGGCAAGAATTACATGACATCTGTGCTGATGTACTGATGCCCAGATGTACAGTACCAACCCAATGATATGGTACCAATGAATTTGCAAAGCAAGGTCCAAAACGGTGACTAGAAGGGAGAGAAACAAAAATATATAGATGTGTAAATTTTGTACAAATACAATATTTGACAACCTACTGTGAAAATAGAATTAGCCCTCATTTTAGTTCATTCTAGGACAACAAATGGAGTAGGGATGACTCGGCTACCTGATATAGGAAATCAAAGCCACATATGAACAGAATCATATTCCCAGCCATCTTCCAAGACAACACATGGAGAAGGTAAACAAAAAACTAGAGAAAGAAACTGGAAGAGGCCAAGATCTGACAAGTTCAGTCTTGATAAAAAGCTTAAAAAAAAAAAAAAAAAAAAAAAAAACCAAAAAACACGTCGCTGTGGTGGCAGGGTAATTCTAAACATTAATACAGCTGTAGTTCTATAAAACAATTTCCCAAAGAAGTAGCCATAACAGCCATAGGCTGCAGAAAAACTGAGAAGAAGCATGTGCAGCCATGTCAGATTCTTCGCTTTCCTGGCTTCCTGATGCTGCTTTGCATAAACAAACATTGAGCCACTCAATAATGCAAAAATTTACCAAAGGCTTCTGGTACCAACTTTCTTTGAATCATCATATCCAAATAATAAAGAAAAGGAGTACACCTGAGAGCAGGAAAAACGCGGCTAGAAACAAAGTCCTTAAAACACTGCCTAATATTTCAGAACAAGCTCCTATAACAATCCTGCCAACCACAACGTAGGCAACCATAAAGGCAGCACTAGCTGTCCACTTTACACACTAACGTTGGCCATAAATGACAGCCAGTGGTGCTGATCGGAGAAAAAAAAAAAAAAAAAAAAAAAAAAAAAAAAAAAAAAAAAAAAAATGATTCCTCATCTACAAAAGCGAAGGGGAATGCTCCCCGCTGTGCTATTGACAGCAGGGGCTCCTCTGCTGTCAGAATACACTTAGCTGGGATACAGCTTTTTATAAAAATGTAAGGCTTGTTTTTTCCAATTCCCGTAACAAGAGCATCCTTTCTTCATGTGCAGTCATGCTAAATGACAGAGGAAAGCCTGCTTTAGTAACAAAGATGTAATTATGGAAACATTCATAGTGGCAATATAGAACACAAAAGAGGAGGCTCTCTCTGATGGCTGACTACTTCAATCCTCATGGTGTATATTTATTTTTTAAGACACTGCAGACCTGCTTGGAGTGGATGAATTCTCAGCAGCAGTGCTGTATACCATCGTAATGGTACGATTACAATCCTCCTCATCTAACTTTGCTTCCTATGGCACAAACCAAACATTGAAGTAGTAGAGGTGTTTACGATAAACATTTTTATTAACATTGCTTGCCTTACTGAATGCCATTGCCAGATTTGCACACTGACATTAGATCACTTTTTAAAGCACAACAAGGCCCCACCCAAGCACACCCCTCTAACGTACAAGCACATACTGGGTGAAATGTTAGAGAGGCAGATGTGATCTGACATTATCTGGATGTGGCTTCCTACATTCCATTTTTTGTGGTATTCTGTACATTAGGAATACATGTGTGTACAATAGAAAGAAAAGTCACAATAATTGTTAACATTAGCAAAAAAGACTATCCTTTTATTGATGGAAAGTTAAGCTACAAAAACGCAATGCCTTGCAAATCCACCCATTCCCCTGCACACTTTACCTTTTTTGGGTTCTAACGTGGCATGATCAAGTAATGTTATCCCAATAAGAAAATAGTAGCCAACTCCAAGACCATACTGAGCCACATGAATAACCCCATTGGAATAGATGCTGACATACAGGCACTCTTCTAGTCTTCTTAGGCTATGCAGCCATATTAAGGACAGAGCCAGTAGAGTAGAAACCTCTCCACCTAGGATTTCAATATATAAAATTGCAGTCATAAAAAAAGGACAGATATGGATAAAACATTACATATTCTGCTGTATTCAGGCGTGGACAAATTTAACATTCAGGATCTAGCAGATGTTTTTTTTTTTGGAGCCAAGGACCTGAGCATATATTAAGACTAATAAGGTAACAGCTGTACTGCTTGAGGCACATCGCCGCTCTAGCTCCTCCAGATTTCAAAGTTATTTAAACTGGAGGTCCATTAACCCATGAAACAAGGATCTGTAAAAAAAAGCATGATGTATAAACTACATATGTCATGAATGATCCTCTTGAAGGTCCCGGTGGAACATCTGCAGCCTGTCCTTATATCCCACTAACAATCAGATTTCTCTATAGACTTTAGAGCCAACAAATTTTGAAGCTGGAAAATGTAGTACAGGTCAGACACCAGAATTCATTAGACAAAAACCATCAAGGAAAATAAATAACCAATTTACACAGTTAAAGCAGGTAAATTAATTACAGGAAAAAAAAAAAAAAAAAAGTGCAGGACCTAGAGGAACTGCTACTGGTGGCTTGGTGAAAGACACCACAGCATACCTTTGGAGGTTTTGTGGAGTCCATGTTTCGATCAGTGTAAACATTGATCAGCCATAATTTTATGACTGACAGGTTAGGTGAACAAAATTGATTATCTCATTACAGTGGCATTGGAAAGTTGGTAGGATATATTAGGCAGCAAGTAAACATGTCCCTGAAGTTGATGTGTTGAAAGCAAAAAAAAAAAAAAAAAAAAAAAAAAGGCAGCTTGGTGTATGGGGCCACGTAGCTGCACACTGGTCAGTGTGCCCATGCTGACATGTGTCCACAGTGGCGTTCATGCCTTGACGGGTCAGAGACATTTTGACAGCAAAAGGGGACTTACTCTATATTGAGTGGTCAAAGTTATGTCTGATCAGTATGTGTGATATTTATGGCACCTGGAGAACAGGAGGTATATACAGTAATATAGGGCTTATACAGCCAGGTGACAAAAGTCCTAACACAAATTGTTAGTTTGCATACGGCGGTCACCATTTTGTTATGCAATACATCTTGGCAAGCCAAACAACTGCTTTGAGGCCATCCTCCATCCACCTTGTTTGTGTCCACTGGGACATTGTATTCTGACAGCAACTCCGGCTCCTGTCAGATTACACTAATCAGTGACTTTCCAGTGTGTCCCTTTGACAGAAGCTGATCAAATGAATGATTTCTGTAGAGCAGAGACAGCTACACACTGGTCAACATTCGAATGGTCCCTTAAAATTTCTGATTACATTTTTTAAGCGATTTGTTTTCTACTCATGTGACCAGAGCAATACAAAGTTACCATAGTAACAATGTACTCTTCTGGGCAAGTAATCACAATTTTTTTTTTTTTTTTTTTTTTTAAACATACACATTATGATTGCTTTTACCAACGAATTTCATTGGTATAAGCAACCATTTTTACTGACCGTTTCATTCGGACTCATTCATTAGTTTTTGTTATGATCAGCTGTGATCGGCCACAGCTGATCACATGCTACAGATGGGCTGTGATTGGCCCAGTCTGTACATGCGACCAATCACAGATAGCAGCACAGTTGTAAGCAATGAATGGCATGAAAGGAAGCCATTCATTGTTTACAACGGTCATGTGATCTACTGTGATTGGTCACAGCAATGTTGGAGGGGTTGGAAGGAGTTAAGGCATGTTAGTAGAATGTTTAATGCCACACAAAATGCAATATTGTTGCAATATGCATAGTCAGCTAAGAGTTTTTCTTCTTAGAAATAGTACATAGCAATTTACAATTTTGAAAGAATGGACTACAGGAAAATACCCTGCCACATTTTGTAGTCGAAGCTCCAACAAACTGATCATGCTGCAGTGGAAGATCTCATATGCATACTGAATGAGAACAATGGCCAGGCCCAATTACATAGCTATTTTTTCTTGTATAGACATTTTATTGCTCACCTGATATTTTTTGTTGTGGCTCCTTGAAGAAATTAAGCAGTGACTGAAGCCACTGTGGTATTTCTACACCAAACAGCTGTGACTGCACAACTAACCAAAGCAGTGCCCCATTCCAAAAAATGGATAGGTAATAAAAGTGCGAGAACCACCTGTGGTTAGAAAAGGCAAACATTAATACATAAATGATCAATCCAACACAGTATGTATACAAGAGATTAAATTATTTGATTCCACAGGAAATCCCCAAAATACATCTATTAGTATATGTGGTGTCACCCCTTGAGGACCCCAGAACCAGTGTATTTCTATTCCAGGGACACCTCTTCCTTTTATTTTGAGTTCATAACATTGAAGCACAAAAACTAATTTTAAGTAGATTCCTCAAAAGCTAAAAGAAAGAAATGTATTTTGTAAACACCAAATAATTCTAAACCCAGATATTACCTTGTAAAAGTATCTTAGGCAACATCAATGTTCTGTACATAGCTTGTGTAGAGAGCAGAGCTGTGGGAGGGACCAAGCAGATCTGCCTACTACAGACTACCTGTAGAAAAAAACAGAAGAAGAGGGCGGAGATAAGACCAGTCATCCTGCACAAGCAGAGAGACCAGGTAGTGCCTGGTCGTTTATTCAGGGATGGGCAATTCACATCACCCGACACCCGGGATAGTTCCAGACCTCGGGCAGGTGGTTTTTATTTACATTTAGCCCTGTTGTGGGCAAGTGGCAGGGTTTACATTTTGTTTGCGGAGCAGACACCAATGAAGTATGAACAGATCTTCATGCTACACCAGAGTTAGCAGGCTCTCCACGCATCCATGCTGCTGTCCAGTGCAGGCAGTCCTCTCTGACAGCCTCTCACTAGCTCATTGGTTCCCTCAGCCCATCCATTCCACTCGGTGGCCAAGTTCAGTCCTGGCTGCTCCCACACTTCTTACTCTCCTCTTTCTTGGACACGCTGCCCTTCCTGCACCCCTCACCTTAGCACTCACTCTGCCTCTCCATAAAGCACTGAGCAAACTGTTGGCGCTATATAAATCCTGTATAATAGAATGATTTGTATCCCTCCGTCTGCATACACTCTGCTGCAGAACACAGACGGCAGGTAGCCTCAGGCCCCAGACCACCATACAGGACATATCAAGGGCAACACACATCAAACTCTGTCCTATTACTACTTATCTACGCCACGTGCCACACACAGCATTGTACTTTGTGATTGCTGAACCACAAAGTACAATGCTGGATAATAGGGATAAGCTGACCATCCCCACGCTTGGCATGCCACCTCTGTAGGGATGGTCAGAAGTGTGATTGCTGAGTGAAGGAATGGTCAGCCTTAATAAAATACAGATTTGGTTAAAATATATATATCTATATATCAGGACAAGTAGATTGGGACCCAGATTTATTCCCTTGGCCAAGTAGTTTTTTTGTTTTTTATTTCACATCCCTGTTTATTACAGGAAACCCCAGCCCCAGCACAAAGACAAAATGCAGGAGTTTTTTCATGCTGGAGCACTACACTGAGCTGGAAGACGTATAAAAAAACACACCAAGATTCAAAAGGAAGACTACACAAGACTCTTGTGTTTAGACAATATTCAGTTATTCCAGAGTTCAGCTTTAAAGCAGGCCATAAACGGGGCAAAAACCGGACGTTTAAAAAAAAAAAAAAAAAAAAAAAAAAAACACAACAAAACAAAACAAAAAAACACACCACACACACACACGGCTGATTTTCGTCCCATCTATGGCCAGCAAATATAATAGCAGTGTCCCTGCAGAGAGCTCCGCTATTATATTTGACATTTAAAAGTATAGCAAAGTTGCAACATTGTATCTATTTGTATCCATTTCAGATACAGGATGTTTCTATTCGGATACAAATAGATACAATGTTGCAACTTTGCTATACTTTTAAATGTCAAATATAATAGCGGAGCTCTCCGCAGGGACACTCCGCTATTATTTTTGACATTTAAAAGTATTGTGGTTGCAACATTGTATATTTGTATCCGAATAGAAACATCCGTATCCGAAATGGATACAAATAGATAAATAGATACATATGTTCTTTTTCGGTCTTTGTCTTCATCTTTTCCTTCTTCTTGCAGGTCACGGCTCATGCACATTTTTTATTTTTTTTAATCGGTAAAAAGATCCGCCGATTTGCCCATCATTGCCGTGAAAAAAAAAAATAAAAAAAAAAAAAAAAAAAAAAAAAAAGTGTGTGTCAAAAATCACGAAAAAACGGCCGACAAATTCACCCACTAACGATCCGAAAATCGGCTGATTAATCTGCCGGACTAATTTTCGGCCAATTTTCGACCCATCTATGGCCTGCATAAGACTCCAGGCTCTAGTGTTTTGGGGTTCTTTTAAGCAAAGAAAAAAAAAAAAAAAAAAAAAGCTAGGAAAAAAAAAAAAAAAACTGTTGTTAGGAGTGTTCAAAGTTTTTTCTGCTGGCAAACCAATCCCCAAAAAAAAAAAAAAAAAACAAAAAAAAAAAAAAACTCATAACTAGCTGCTAGAAGCTTAAAAAGAAGCTAGTGTGCACAGAGCCTAAATGTGCAACATTCACTGTGTGCAGCTGATATATTCACTTTTTAGTTTGCTTCTTATGTTGAGAAAGACAGAAACAGGGAACGCTGGAGGTATTAACGCTGAACGCAATGTAGATATGAATAAAAGGGGAGGGGCTGCTGAATTGCTTCCTCATTAGAAAGGGGAAGTAGATTTCTCAACATGACAAAATTACAACAGACATATGTCCCACTTAGGAATGATGATTCACACCAGAATTGTGCACAAAAAACCTGGTCTGATTTTCATTAGAACATGCTGAAATCACACTGAATCGGCAAACAAGTAGTGCATGCACTACTGTTCAAAAATCGCACATGGAACCACAGTACCATGCAATCTGGTGCAGGCAAATGCATGGAGTTTGCCTGTCTGCGTTTGAGGCATCATTAGGAATATATTGACACCAGCAACAGATTGCACATCCAGTGTGTTTTGAACACGATGTGGGAAATGCACACAGAATGCTGGTGTGAATAAGCCCCTAATGTAACTGTTCATGTCTGAGCTAAAGTCGAGCACCTTTCCAATCTAAACTAGGTTTCTATGTGCCAAAGCACCCTGCTCCATTACACAAAAGCCCTCTGCAATTCCCATTATTCACAGCCCCACCCACGCAGCACCACCCTGCCCAAGTGACCACAGGACCAGGAAAAGTGTGACCATGTTGATGCATGGCCTTTTCCCATTGTCTAGGCATCTCCAGCAGTGTGTCTGCTCTTCTACAAGTTAACATGTGCCTCACGTTTTCTGCTGGTCCTCAGCAGCTGACAATTGTGAAGTACTGACACAAATAATAAATGAATATGAACACAAAAGCACATAGGTGGATGCAGGCTGAATAATGGGAGATGTACTCTTTGTGGAGCAGCACACAGGATCATACTTCACATGAAATGCTCATAACTTAAAACCAGAAGTAAGAGGAGAGCTCTTCAGTAGATTACTCAGCGAGGGGAGAATAGATATACTGAAAAAAAAGAAGAGTAAATATCACTTGCTGATTATATTTGAGAGAGGATGCTTTATATAGAATGCCGATTTGGAAACTTGTTTTTTACCTTGAGGGTTTACAAACACTTTAAGGTCTAATAGGGAACCCACATGTGGTGAACTACATGTCCCAGTTGGAACACTATAAAGAAATGTGGGGTTCATTCTTTGCAGAGTCAAAAAAGCTTCACACCCAACTTAGCGTCTCACACTGCAAAGCAAATTCATAGAATGCAGAAAACACTCTGATTAGAGGACTGGCCAATGAGAAAATGCCAAGCGTTCTCTGAATGGCACCCATGCCAAGCAAGCAACCTCCTCTGTTCAGTAAGAGGTACCTACTGCAGTGATTTCTAGGTTCATCGGTCAGGTATGGAATGTGCATAGTTACATTGATCCAAGAAGGACCAATGTAACCATGTACAAAATAGCCACACCTGGGAGAATCAGCACAAGGGATAGAACTTAAAGTCAGTAGGGTGTGTCCCACATAATCTATAAATGGAAGGGGGGGGGGGTGAAATGAGTGGATGATTGATTCATTCACAGATCTTATTTCATTCATAAAGTGGTGGTAAAGCTTTTATTACTGGAGGAACTGAGTGAAAAGGGCTGGCTGGAGCCTGTGACAGCCCCTTAGCTGTATTAACCCCCACTGCCATAATCTCTCAGTACATAGACGGAGGAGGATGTCCACTAACAGAAGAGGAATCAGCACAAGGGACACATCCTACTGATTGAATGGCTAGGTTCACACCTATGTGACTGCGTTGTGTGTAGGGCAACCTACTCATCTCAATGGGCGGCTCTATCTGCAGAAATGCAGGTTAAGAAGTCCCCAACCCTTTTGTTAACCACTTGACCTTCAGGACTTTTCTGACACTTTTGTTAATATGCAACAATCAGTATTTACTAGAAAAAAAAAAAAAAAAAAGTTAGAACCCCAGACTTTTTTTTTTTTTTTTTTTTTTTTTTTAAAAGCTGAGGCTCTAGAGAATACAATGGTGGGGTTTGCAATTTTTTTTATATCACACAGTATTTGTGCAGCTGTTCAAACCATTTTTTTGGGAGAAGAAATACTTTTTTGAATTTTATTGAAAAAAAAACCCAAAAACAATACATAGCTCAATTTCTTTTCTGAAATATAAAAAGATGATGTTACGCAGAGTAAATAGATACCAAACATGTCACACTTTAAAATTGCGCACTCCCTGCAACTAATGACGTAAATTTTCATTTCCATTGATGAAGCTTTGAAAGCCTTTACAGGTTACCACTTTAGACTTACAGAGGAGGTCTAGTGCTAGAATTACTGCCTATGATCTGACGTTCACAATGATACCTTCACATGTGTGGGACAATCGCTGTCTGCATGCATGAGGGACCGATGTGTTTGTGGGCATGCTTTACATTTTTCATTACTTATTTTTACACTGTTGCTTTAATTTTTTCTTAGCACTTTTATTGCTGCCACAAGGAATGTAAACATCCCTTTTGAAAGCAATAGGCAGCGACAGGTACTCTTTATGGAGAGATCTGGGATCAATAAGACCCTAGATCCCTCCTCTGCCCTTAAAAGCATTTGATCACACCAAGATCAGTGTGACCAAATGCTTTCCATTTTAAAAAAAGTGGCATTACACCAAGGGAAACAGGAAGTGAAGTAAAATCATAGAGGTGGACAGAGCAGTACTGGTCTCAGTCTGCCTCTATAATCAGCCGGAGGAAGCGACTGCTGGTTGATCGGGTTTCGCCCTCACGGGACAGGTGGCAGGGGGGCACATGTCCTGGGTGTCAGGTGATATAGGATGATTGCCGTTTGCTTGTGTGCAGGATCGACGCCTGCATTCACCTTTATGCGCAACCACAGGGGGATGGGGGCACTATACATTTTTTTTTAATTTTACTTTCACACTGTTGCTTTAAAAAAAATTTGGATCGCTTTTATTGCTGTCACAAGGAATGTAAACATCTCTTGTGACAGCAATAGGCACATGACCGGTACTCTTTATGGAGGGATTTGTGGGTCTATAAGACCCCAAATCTCTCCTCTGCACTGAAAAGTAGTGGTGCACCGAAATTAAAATTCTGGTGCCGAAACAAAAATAAATAAATAAATCAGAATGCATGTTGCCGAAAACCGAACCGAAATGTCTGCGCAGGTGGGGGTGGGAAGACTCCAATTTGTTTGTTTTTTTTTCTACTTTTATGTAGATTTGTTTATTTTTTTAACTCATGATTTTATTGCTATCACATAGGGTGTACAAGGAGAGGAGCAGTGTATACAGTGAGGGAGCAGTGTATACAGAGAGGCTCCCTCACTGGCTGTCACTCTATGTCAGTGCTTTTAAATGCAATTGCCTGTTTTTTCATTTATTCCTTCACTATAGCTCAGAGAAAAACGGTTTCTTTTTAGCTCGGGAAAGAAACTAAAAAGAAACGTTGTTTCTTCTAGCTTGGGGAAAGAAACAGGTCATTCTCTGAGCTATAGTGAAGAAAAAAAAAAAAAAAAAGCCTAAAAACCAGCACTGACATACAGCGACAGCCAGTCACTGTATACACTGCTCCTCTCCTGCCTTTCTCCACCACCGCGCCCGCCCCCCCCTTCATATCTGCAGGACACAGTCCCTTGTATCTGCTAAATATTTTTCCGATCAGCAAAATGCCGATAGTGCTATTTTGTGGCCATTATGTTTCGGTGGCCAACATTTCAGTGCATCCCTACTTAAAAGCATTCAAAAACACCAAGATGGGGGTTTTGAATGCTTTGATTTTTTATAAAATGGCACAGTTTAGTGCTGAGTAAACTGGAAGGAATGTCAGGTCATTACTTCCGGGTTCCTAGACTGTAGAGCCGATCCTGGATTTGTTCAGCTGTCCAGCCAGCCAGTAGATGTGCTGGATGGTTGTTCTGGTCTCCCGGTGGGACAGTAGAGCCTGAGAGGCTGTGGAAGGTGTCAGGATGCTCCGTCCCGCTGCTAGTTAGCCTCTCTGATTGCTTTTACAAGAGAGCTGACCACAGGCTCGAAATAATGGTACTGGGATGATGCCTGCAGCTTCAGGCATCATCCTGGTGTAACTGCTTGAAGTTCAGGCAAGTCTCTGGTCCGCACATGGGAAAAAAAAAAAAAAACAGCACCAAAACACATGGTGCTGCAGCACCATGCAGTTTAGCATGCATGAAAATGCCAGAATATTAAAGTGATTCTAAAGGCTTATTTTTTTTTTTAAAGAACAAAAACGTGTATACTTACCTGTTGTGTGCAGTGGTTTTTCACAGAGCAGCCTGGATCCTCCTCTTCTCGGGTCCCCTGCTGGTGCTCCTGGCTCCTCCCTCCCATCAGGTGCCCCCCACAGCAAGCAGCTTGCTATGGGGCACCTACTGCTCCGTGTGGCCTGCCCCCCTCTCTTCTCTTTGGCTCACTAGCTGTGATTAACAATGGTGGGAGCCAATGGCTTCCGCTTTGTCTCAGTCAATGAGGAGAGGGAGTCCCAGGTTAGCCGAGACTCCAGTGCACATTGCTGGAACGAAAGGGGGCTTAAATTAATATTGGGAGGGAGGAGGGGGGGGGGGGGAGCTGCTGCACAGAGGTTTTTTTTACATAGAACGCATGAAGGTAAGAAAACACCAAGCCTTTAGAACCAATTTTAAATTATTCTGGTCATTGAAATGAATGAACTCTCAGGAGCTAAAAGTGCCTGGCATTTAGACACATTTACATGTGTTTGAGTAAAAAAAAAAAAACAAAAAAATAAAACCCACACCACACAAAACATGCCTAAATGCGCCTCTCGAACGCACTGGCGATTTTTTTTCTCCCCTGCCTGTAAATGCTCTCTTCTAGTACACCTGTAAAAGCCTGTGTGCGCACAGACACGGGCTGATTAACAAACTGGAGAATACAGTACAGCTCTCTGTAGAAACCAATCAGCTTCCAGGTTTTGTCAAAGCTTAAAAGTAGAGTTTCGGCTGTTTTTGTGTTTATTAAAAGTCAGCAGCTACAAAAAAAAAAAACTGTACCTGCTGACTTTGCTGGGACAGATAAGTGTGTGTTTATTATTAAGTCAGCAGGTACAGTTGTTGTAGCTGCTGACTTTTAATAAACACACACTTATCTGTCCCAGCAAATGTTGTCACCCGCGCGCTGTCCCTTCTCCCCTCCACGGCATCTCAATCATGGGCAGCAGGCTGTGACAGCTTGCAGCTTGACTGCCTGGTGCCCACTGTGCATGTCACACTGCACCTCTTAATTGGTCCAGCAGTCTCCAGGGACTTGTGAAAGTTCCCAGGAGACTGCAGCAGGGAGGAGGGGGCCAAACTTCTGACTCACTTTGCCGCAGCAAACTGAGCTGGAAGTGGGAGCAGGTACCTGTCAAACACAGGTATCTGCTTCCCACTCCCCCCCCCAAAAAGGTGCCAAATATGGCAGTGAAGAGGGGGGGGGGGGCAACAAATAAGTGGAGCTTCCACTTTTGAGTGGAACTCCACTTTATCTGAACAAACTGAAGCTAGAAGCCGATTGGCTACCATGCACAGCTGCACCAGATTCTGAGTTTTAGTAAATCTCCTCCATAGACCAACAGAGGGATGTTTAGAGGCAAAGAACAGAACCCAACAAACTCCTGTAACGGCATTTATTAAACACTGTGTGTATGAAGCCTAACACTGCACTTTTCTACATTCAGCCCATAGTGGCCCCAGCAGTAATGTACAGCCTGCACTCCATGAATGAAGCCTCCCCCATCTGCGATCGTTCTCTAGAAATGCAGCAACAAGGGAGTGTCTTCCCACCAATCAGAATGCTGGATTCCCTGTAGAGGTTGCTATGGACAACCCCCAGTCTCCCTTCTCACCTCTTAGGCAGGTCGAAGCAGTGCAGCCATGCTGGGCGCCCCCGTCCGGTCTTGGTCTTTCCATAGCGGATGAGATCCTGGAAGACGGCGCAGAGTGTAGAGCCCCGGCGGGCACAGTCTCCCAGCACATGGAGGAACAGAGACACGAGGAAGGCGACATCTAGCAGGAGCCACAAAGCGGCGATGACAGTCAGCCCTGTGCCTGAGAGCGTCATGGCCGCCTCACCCACAGCCCGCTATTTCCAGACTACACGCTCCCCTCATGCACCTCCTAGGGCTACACAACCTCTCGATAGTTCCCGGGTTACTTCCACATATTACAACCCGACTCCTCCCCCATCCACATCTGCCGCTTATAACCTGCATTTATATGGGAACTAGTTGTCTGTATCTAGTTCCGGACCGGAACACATTCATTGGGGCACGCTATGAGGCTTATTTACAAGGACCCTCTAGGTGCCCGTCGTAAGTGCCTGTTACAAAATGCTGCTTTCTGATTTGTTGAAAGTTGATAAGTACCTACCTTCAGGAGCTAAGCACCTTTTTGCTAACCACTTGCTACCCAAGCCAATTGTGACACTCTTCACATACATATAAAAATTCAGCATTTTTTTAAACTAGAAAATTACTTAGAAACCCTAAACATATATTTTGTGAAAACAAAGGTCCTGGAGAATAAAATGGTGGTTGCAGCAATCTTTTCTATCACACGATCTTTGCGCAGCAATTTAACAAACACGAATATTCAGGAAAAATAAACTTTAAAGCGGTAGTAAACTGCAGCTTGAGGTAAAAAATATTAAAAATCCCCTGGAAGGTGATGTCATCGCATACTAGTACATTATCCAGGACTTACCTTAAAATGAAGCGAACACGTACACCCGCCGAATGCAATAGGCTGTTTTGTTTTTGCTGCGAAGTGCAGCCGAGGCATGTGTACAGCCTTGAATGGCTTGGCGTCAGTGTTCAGGTGGTGGTTGGTGGGCAGTAAAACAATAACTCAACCACCCAGTTTTACTGTTCTTTGGCTGCTTGTGTGAACAAAGTTACAAACACTACACTTGTACAGGTACTGAAAATTCCCAAATAGAGCTGCTCTGTCACATTGATTCAAAACAAGTATATTAATTTTGATTATTTAATTACCTTTACTGTAAAATAATTTTATTTTATTAGGAAGCCAAGAATATATTTATACCAACACTTAAAAACCATTACATTCTGATGCACACCCATATATCAAATAGAGAACAGTTACATGTACAAAAATATATTTGGTAATTAAAAATTGATGCCATCACTTTATTAGCTTCAGATCTCATCAAGTTGAAGTTTGGTATAACTGAAAAGGGTAATTTCATTAAGCACAGAGAAATTCCAAAGACATATGTATGTAAGAAGGGGCACAGAATTGAGAGGCTGTGGCCCGGCCTCTTAGTTTTGTGCTTGGTCCAAACAAACTATTTACAGTCATGGGAAGTATGGAGATCAGCCTTAAGCACATTGTGTTTGCCTATTGTGAATTAGATGAGAATCAGATCACATTTTATTGTAAATTACTGCAGACAAACAGTTCATTCCCAAGGGTTTCACATACTTTTTGTTGCCACTGGTAGATATTTCAATACAGGAGGTGTGTTACTGGCCAGATCACCAGGTGAAAACAGAGGGGAAAAAATGAAAATTAATGAAACCACCACATCTACATTAATAATTGGTAAGCTATAATATATTACATTATTGGTTTGGGGTTTAACCACTTCCTGTCCGGACATTTTTACCCCCTTCCTGTCCAGGGCAATTTTTAGCTTTCAGCGCTATCACACTTTGAATGACAATTGTGTGGTCATGCAACACTGTACCCATATGAATTTTTTACCATTTTTCTGAGACAGATAAAGCTTTATTTTGGTGGTATTTATTCACCGTTGGGATTTTTATTTTTTTTGCTATGTAAATGAAAATGTCCAAAAATTTAGAAAAAAGTGTTTTTCTTATAAAATTTTGCAAATAAAAAACCTTTCATCATAAATCTTGGCCGAAATGTATTCCGTTATCTTTTTAGTAAAAAAAATAAATAAGCAAAATTAGTTTATAACCAAAAAATTATAATTTTTAAAACTTTTTTTTTACATTTTTATTTTATTTTTTTATATTATTATTTATGGGGTTTTTTTTTTACATACTGTCACCCTAGCAGTACAGTGTCACCATGGTGGACACTCTACTACTTGTGGGGTTTGATGAAGATTTTTTTTTTTTTTTTTTTACAGTGATTGCTTTTACACCCATATAGGATGTAAAAGCAAATATTTCTCTTTCTCTCTGTCTGCATTCTTGCAGCCATTGAGAAATACTGAGTGAGCTGTGATTGGTCACAGCTTGTCACATGGTACAATAGCCTTGTACCATGTGACCTCTGTGATCATTCACAGATTTCACACGTAGTAGGCAATGATGTCACAAGTGACATCTTGCTTACTACTTTGCATGTGATCACTGATTGGCCTATCAGTGATCACATGATCGGGACCTCGTACAGAGGTCTTGTCCGACAATCGGTGTTTCACTGTGTCCGGAGGACACAGCGGGCACCGGGTCGTGGTGCTGCGCGCTCCAAGGGAGCACGCACTCTAGAAATGGCGGGTGCACATTTATGAACGCAACCTCGGGTAAAAGTGCACGTTTAATTAGTGCCGTGCCATTTATGAACGGCAACCTGCCCCTAGCAATGAGTGCCACCGTCCTGAGCCGTTTATAAACAGCAGGCGGACGGCAAGTGGTTAAAGGATAAGTTCACCTTTTGGTAAAAAATAATAAATGCACATTTTTTTGCAGGTAAAAAAATGTGCATTTATTATTTCTTGCTGCAGGAGCCTGTAAAGCCTTCTACCAGCAATCAGTAGATTGCTGGTGCCATACTGATCTGTCAGTATATCCGCTTGGCCATAAGGCTTGGCTCACGTATATGCATTTTGCATTTGATGCTTTCTCCAGTGCTTTTTACAGTTTGTTTTGCATTTTTCTACACACGTTTTTGATGCAATTTTACCGGGTTTTATGTTTTGTTCAACTCTTTTTTTTTCGTGAAAATTTAGGGGTTTTTTTGTTGCTGGGCAGAATAAAAATGCGACAAAATTTGGCAAAAATGCACTACCATGCATTTCAGCAGCTTCTCCATTGAACTCTATGGTAGCAAAAATGCTACTTTTTGCTTTTAATAAAGTCTCTGACCCTTTCCAAAAACGCAGCAGCTCAAAAAAGCATAGATGTGAACATGTTCCATAGGAAACCATGTTAAATGGACTGTAGTGCGTTTCTGCAAAAAGCACTAAAAAAAGCATTGGTGTGAATAGAGCCTTAGGGATGTACGAGCAAGCTGATATACTGAAGGAAGATTCAATGAACTACTACGGTGGTCCACAGCGCCGTGGTAGTTAATTGAGAACTACAAGCCAACATTTTTTAAAAATTTGACAGCTAGCCAGGAAGAGGGGCGGTGGAGGTGGAGGGTGATCCCATGCTAGCTGTCAATGCGGGGGATCGGCAGGAAGTAGGGGATGGTGCTCTCATAACATGTTAAATGTTACACCCTGAATATGATCAATATATCTCTCCCTTTAGGAGGGATTCCACCCCTGGATGGATTTCTGTGACTGGTGATAGGAAGTGGACAGATATGCTTCAAGGAGTCATTTTCATCCAATGCTGGCTTGCTTTTTGCTTCTGGTGTGTGCATAATGGTGGAGGAGTAACACAGAAGTCACATTTATTTTTTGGTCACCATTTGATCACATCACTTTTTGGGACTATTATTTGGTCGAGTTTTTTTGGGACACATCACAGTGGATTATATTTACATCCCTGTCATTCATATATTGGACATTCTATACTGGTCATCTATTACATCTATTGTCTCTTTGGTAGCACATTTATACATATTTCATATATTGTACCGCTGCACCATTTATTTATAAGTTCTATTTAAAAGTTTGATGCCAATTTCCATTTCTGTGATTTATTGGATACATCACTTCTCACCTGGTTCTTATGCAAAGGCTGTACTTTCCAACTAAACTATTAAAATATGCCATAGGCAGTATTTGCTCCGCATGGCAAGTGACGCACTTTGGAATAAAAGTGATGGTTCCATTTTGCAATATGTGATGATGATGGCTTACATGGGTCACATCTTTGTCAACTGTTGCTTTCTTGAGAATATTGAGTAGGAAAAGTTTAGAACCACGGTAATGGTTTTTTTGGAGTTCCTTTTAGGGCCAGTTCACATTGACTTGCGCTAAAATGCATGTATATTTCCATCCATTTTAGTTGCGTTATAAAGCTGACGTCCATTGACATACATTTGATGTCCATTGACATACATTTTGACGTCCATTGACAGACAATTGATGCCCGTTGACATACATTTTGATGTACCTTGACAGACATTTTGCATTTCAGCGCAACACAATGCAACATTATGCTGTGAATAAGACATATTGGAAATTACTGTTTTTCGGATGTCCTTCTGTTGAAATGCGTTTTACAGCTACGCTAAAACAAACTGGTTTGAATTGACCCGTAAAGAGATTTCCTCTCTCTATTGTTTTGGTGGCAAAAGTTTTGGCAGACTGGAATTGCAGACTTTCCCTCAATTCCTGTCTGCTGAAATCTTTGCCATCAAGATAGACAGGGACAGAAAGAACAACACTTTCTTGAGCTTTACGAAAAGACTAAAACCCTTCCAGTCTGTGTTGCCTGTGGCAGTAAATGAGGAAAATATACCTGGGGTTCTAATTTTTCCCCAGCAAGTCCAAGCTCAAAGCTATGCTTTCCAAGAACCTAGCAACATGGGACAAAGCCTTGCATGTACTTTGTTCCATACGGTCAAAAACAGTGAAAACATTTAATAATATTTTTTCTTTAATGATTTACATATTATAATTTTATAACTGGAAACTGTAAGGGACCGCCCGGCGGTACCACTAGCACTCCACTGATCGGATGTTCCCAGCGCACGGAGTCTAAGCCCTAGAGTACTTGTTCACCAGGGCCCCTGATGGTGGGGATGGACTTGGAGTACCCTGGGACCAGGTCGTGACTACTGAGGACACCCGTCAGTGGTAGGGGTATTCGCCAGGGGCTCCCACGGGAGAGAGCCAGGTATGAGGAGGTCTGGAGACCCCGTTGAGAGGGACGGATGGATGGCTGAGCA